CTGAAAGGTGTCCCCCTTCAATTAGAAATCGACGTGTCCGAACTTTTTTTAAAAATCTTACTTTTTATATTCAAAAAGGCTCTGTTAAGTGCACCTATGATTTTGTAGGTACGTGTGTCAGATACCCGACGGAAAAACAACAACTAACCCAGCTAATGCCACGCAGAAAGCTGAAGTAAAATCATCAGGCCCCTGTGCATGGTCTTCGACTTGAAAGATTGGTCGCAAGTTATTTCCCACTATGAAAAACATGAATTTAATTTCGTTTGGTCGATACGACCAACCGATAGACCGATTTCAGGGTAATTGCCCCATCATCAGTACCGGGCATGGTCTCTTCAGAATGGTGTGAACCGTCTGAGTAGGTATCACGACCGAACAAATATAATTCCAGCTAGTCATGAACTCTTCCTGCACTTGATTGGGGAAATAGTGCATAGTGGGAAATAACTTGCGACAAATCTTCCAAATTGAAGACGTTGCACAGGTGCCTGATGGTTTAACAACAACAACAACTGATGGCATTACGATGACATCGTAATGCCATTCATTTACTTATTTTGTTTATATTGAAAGGATTGTATTTTAAGGAGTGATTAATTTCTATATACTATTCTTCCAAGTTAGAACTTGTTCTGTTAGCTCCATTTCTCACGATATATTCATGTCAGAACCACTTTCCTAACCAGTTGTGTAAGATATTTGTGGATTCGAGAAACGTTATATTTCAATTGAAATCTAAATAATTTTATCAGTTTTATCAGACATAAATATAAGAAATGAAATGAAATATTTGAAAATTCGTTTTACATGTGGGTTCTTCGATATAATAATAAATTGACTTTTTGTTAATTGTTAAGAGAGTATCGACCCATGTAACATGCAACCATATTCATTAACATTATCAATTCAGTGAATAACGTTTCAAGGACAAACTGAATATCATTCGGATATCTGTGGTTTGATAATTATCTCATTGAACCAATTCACGACTGTTCCTCACGTTTCAAATTTTATGTTTTCACAAAATTCTTTTATACGAAATATAAAATGTGCGTTATGCAGACATACAGGGTGTTAATTAAGTATGTACCATAAATTTAACGATTCTTTAAGTAATTTTAAGACGAAATATTCATATAAGCATGGGTCCGCAAATCATTAAATTATTGCATTGCCCAAATGAATTATCAGATAACTCATTACAAACATATTTGAGAAGCAAAAATAGAAACAAAAAATGTCATATATATAGATTCACGAATTTTAAATTCGAATATAACTGGAGTTTTTTCCCAACACCAAACTGTTATTTTAACACCTCGGCCCGTGTTTCGATCACCAAGTGGTCATCGTCAAGAGGAAGATCAAACTAATCCTACTTACAGTTATCCTTATTTATCTCATAGGTACCTCTTCTAGGTGCCTGCGTCTTAAGTGTCTTGAATAAATTTCACAATATTGCCCTATCTACTAGTCTTGAATTAATTTCACCATGTGTCCTTATGTAATAGTCAGGTAAATCTAATATTAAATTTTAACAACAATGGAATGACTTTCAGAGAGGAATCTTTCGGATGATTGAATCAAAATATACCAGCAAAATGTGTACCCTGAATAAGAAACTCAAAACCCTTTTATCTAAGAATAAATCAAAAGAAGCCACTTCCAAAAGTCATAAATATTGTCAAAAATCATTCATCAAAATCGTTTAATAAGGAAGAGATTAACCTTTTGAACAAAGGTCTAAAATTTGGCATTCCGTCTTCCGAGAAAGTCCTTGAGGATATCGTTGCTAGTGTTGAAAGTTCGATTCAATGTATGCCTGATTCCTCGAAAGGGCTAGTTTAGGAGAAAGTCAGGAATCAAATCTCCAGGAACATGATGACAGATAAACGAAAAAAAGACGATAAAAACCAAAAGAAACTTATCAAACAATTAAAAAAAAAGTCGACCTAATTGCATATCCGTGGACCTCACAAGGAATAATGTGGGGAGTTGAATGTTTCTTTTGAAAATTATTATTTTTACAATTTTTCATTACTAATTATGTAACAATAACAACAAATATTAAATGACATTAATATCTAGACTAACGAATTGCACTAAATTAAGTGTTGGAATTGGCCTTCGGCTTCAATACAACCGTCTAGCCGCCGCATAATTGAATTTCGCACTCTTCTGAAAATACCATAAATAATAATCAAAGGTTGCCTTGGAAAACGATTGCAGCATTTAATAAACAACTTGACAGTTGTTGTCAACTTTATAAGCTTTCAATTTATAATTGTTATAAAAAGTGTGTTTAGTGGTTAATTTTCGAACCATTTTTGTAAAACAATGGTTCAATTTACTAACAGTGGAATGGCAGATATGCATTTCTGTTATGGAATGGCTCACGGAAACTCGAATGATGCAAGACGCATCTACTGAAACTGCGGGGTTTTACCACTATCCGGAAGGAGCGTCCTGATGCTGTGAGAGGCGGTGGGGTGGCTATACTGGTAAGGAGGTGGTAACATTGAACATGCTGGAATCAAGTTTGCTGACGGTACCTGCGTGTTTGCGGTACACAACAAACCAAGTGTACACTTCACTCCGCATGATTTGGACAATTTGCTTAATGTTGGGAATAAAGTGCTGGTTGTGGGAGACCTCAACGCCAGGAGGCGTGGGTGGAACTGCCACAATAAACAGAATACGAATGGTAGCACGCTGTTGGAATATTCCCTGAACAACTATATCAATATCGAATTCCCGGAGGAGCCTACCCACTACCCCTGGAATGGTTCGTCACCCATAACTATCGACCTGGTATTGAATAAAAACGTCCGCGATTTGGAGATGTTGGTTACCGTGAACGAGTTTAGCTCCGACCATTGTCCCGTGCTCTTTGATCTCAAAAGGGAGATACCCAACAATAAAAAAATAAAATATGACTACAAGAGCACGGACTGGGCGGAGTTTAGGTCGACCATGAATAACCTCACAACTATAAGAGACAACATTTCCAAATCACGGATCAACGAGGTTTGTGAAGAATTCATAAAGAATATTCAAAAATCTCGTGACGTCTCTACCAGGAAGATAGAGGTGAAAGGGGAGCGAGATATTCTTCCGCATGATGTGGTTGAGCTCATAAAGCAAAAACATCGAGCCAGAAAAGATTGGCAGCGCACAGGAGACCCCCGCAGCAAGGATCAAATGCTGATACTTGCTGCGGAAGTTAATGCGCGAATTTATGAGTTCACCAATATGAAGTGGAAGAACAAACTCGAAAGCCTGAACGTGCACGACCACTCTGTGTGGAGGATGGCCAAAAAACTGAGCAATCGGTCTGAGGCTACTCCTACCATAGAAAGCGGGCAAGCGCACGCGGTGACGGACCATCAAAAGGCTCAGTTGTTCGGGGAATATTTTTCCAG